GGGCGGGCGGAAAGGGGCTCGCAGGGAGTTGGAGCAGGACCCAGGAGGGCGGGGATGCCCTCGGGCTCCCGGGGACACTAACAGACACCTGCGAGCGCAGGAGAGTGCGCCGAGCTCCCTAAGGGCTGCAGCGCGCACGGCGGGGCCGGAGCAGCTCGGAGGGGCTCGGGCGGCGGCTCCGCGGAGGGGGCTGCGGGGCGGGAGCGCAAATCCAACAACACAGGCCCCGGAGCACAGGGCGCCGGGACACAGCCCAGGATCCGGCCTCCCCCCGGGACAGGCAGAGGCCGGGAGGGCCCAGGACAGCGAGGACGCTCCTGCCCCGAGCTGAGCAGATCAGCGGCCCCGCCCCGGAGCCTCCAGGCCCTGCGGACAGAGAGCCGAGAGCCCCGAGCCCCGAGCCCGTAGTTCCTGCGGAGGCTGAATCCAGGCTTCCAGAGCTGCCATAGCAACTGCAACTGTTCCTCCTGAGACCTCACGGGGTAAACAACCCCCGCTGAGCCCTGCAGCAGGCAGGGGCAGAGCAGCTCCCCCAAGTGCTGACACCTGAAAATCAGCGCAACAGGCCCCTCCCCCAGAAGACCAGCTAGACGGACCAGTGATACTCCCCCGTGTTCCAATACAACTTGTTTTTGGCCACTCTGCACTGAGCAAAATGACTAGAAGGAAAACCTCACCTCAAAAGAAAGAATCAGAAACAGCCCTCTCTCCCACAGAGTTACAAAATCTGGATTACACTTCAATGTCAGAAAGCCAATTCAGAAGCACTATTCTACAGCTACTGGTGGCTCTAGAAAAAAGCATTAAGGCCTCACGAGACTTCATGACTGCAGAATTTAGATCCAATCAGGCAGAAATTAAAAATCAATTGAATGAGATGCAATCCAAACTAGAAGTCCTAACGACGAGGGTTAACGAGGTGGAAGAACGAGTGAGTGACATAGAAGACAAGTTAATGGCAAAGAGGGAAACTGAGGAAAAAAGAGATAAACAATTAAAGAACCATGAAGACAGATTAAGGCAAATAAATGACACTCTAAGGAAGAAAAACCTACGTTTAATTGGGGTTCCCGAGGGCGCCGAAAGGGACAGAGGGCCAGAATATGTATTTGAACAAATCCTAGCTGAAAACTTTCCCAATCTGGGAAGGGAAACAGGCATTCAGATCCAGGAAATAGAGAGATCCCCCCCTAAAATCAATAAAAACCGTTCAACACCTCGACATCTAATAGTGAAGCTTGCAAATTCCAAAGATAAAGAGAAGATCCTTAAAGCAGCAAGAGACAAGAAGTCCCTGACTTTCATGGGGAGGAATATTAGGGTAACAGCAGACCTCTCCACAGAGACCTGGCAGGCCAGAAAGGGCTGGCAGGATATATTCAGGGTCCTAAATGAGAAGAACATGCAACCAAGAATACTTTATCCAGCAAGGCTCTCATTCAAAATGGAAGGAGAGATAAAGAGCTTCCGAGACAGGCAGGAACTGAAAGAATATGTGACCTCCAAACCAGCTCTGCAAGAAATTTTAAGGGGGACTCTTAAAACTCCCCTTTAAGAAGAAGTTCAAGTAACTCTGAACGTGAATGGGCTTAATGACCCCATCAAAAGGCGCAGAGTTTCAGACTGGATAAAAAAACAGGACCCATCTATTTGCTGTCTACAAGAGACTCATTTTAGACAGAAGGACACCTACAACCTGAAAATAAAAGGTTGGAGAACCATTTACCATTCAAATGGTTCTCAAAATATACCCTAAAAACTACAGAACACTTCTGAAAGAAATTGAGGAAGACACAAAGAGATGGAAAAATATTCCATGCTCATGGATTGGCAGAATTAATATTGTGAAAATGTCAATGTTACCCAGGGCAATTTACACGTTTAATGCAATCCCTATCAAAATACCATGGACTTTCTTCAGAGACTTAGAACAAATTATTTTAAGATTTGTGTGGAATCAGAAAAGACCCCAAACAGCCAGGGGAATTTTAAAAAAAGAAAACCATATCTGGGGGCATCACAATGCCAGATTTCAGGTTGTACTACAAAGCTGTGTTCATCAAGACAGTGTGGTACTGGCACAAAAACAGACATATAGATCTGTCTATAAACAATCTACAAATTCAATAAAATCTTTATGAAAATTGCAATGTAATTTTTTTTAGAAATAGAAAAAAACAAAAAAATAGAAAAAACAACACTAAAACATTGTTCAAGGAAATATTTATAACAAAGATTAAAATTTTAAGAATTTAAAAATGTAAGAAGGAAAAAAAAGAAGAAGAAATTCCTAAAATTCATATGGAACCACAAAAGTCTCTGAATAGCTGAAACAGTTTTGAGAAAGAACAAAGATAGACATATCACTTTTCCTGATTTCAAAATATATTACAAAGAATCCATTCTTGATTTAAAAAAAAAACCTCAACAAGTAGGGATTGAGGGAATATACTTTAACATCGTAAAGTCCATATATGAAAAACCAACAGCTAATATCATTCTCAATAAGTAAAAACTGAGAGCTTTTCCTCTGTGGTCAGGTACAAAACAAGGGATGTTCACTCTTAACCATTGTTATTTAACATAGTGCTAGAAGTCTTAGTCTTAGCAATCAGACCACAAAAAGAAATAAAAGACAAGCAAATCGGCAAGGAAGAAGTCAAACTTCCACAATTCACGGATGACATAATACTCTATGTAGAAAAGCTGACTAGGGGTGTCTGGGTGGGTCAGCCAGTTAAGCGGCCAATTCTTTTTTTTGCTCAGGTCATGATCTCGAGGTCGTGAGATCAAGCCCAGCATGGGGCTCCACACTCAGTGCAGTATCCTTGAGATTCTCTCTCTCTGTGTCTCCCTCTGTCCCTCCCCTGGCATTCTCTCAATAGATGATAGATAGATGAGATAGATGATAGATAGATAGATAGATTATAGATAGATAGATAGATAGATAGATAGATAGATAGATAGATGATAGATAATAGATAGATAAATAGGTAGATAAAATATTTTTAAAAAACAGAAGAAAACCAAAATATGGCTAGAACTGATATATGAATTCCACAAAGTCTCAGGATATAAAATCAACATACAGGAATCTGTTGCATGTCTATGCACCAATAATGAAGTAGCAGAAAGAGAAATCAAGGAATTGATCCCATTTATAATTGCACCAAAAACCATAAGATACTTAGTAATAAACCTAACCAAAGTGGTAAAATATCATACTCTGAAAACTATAGAACATGAATGAGAGAAATTGATGATGACACAAAGAAATGAAAAAACATTTCATGCTCATGGAGTAGAAAATCAAATATTCTTCAAATATCTATGCTTCCCAAAGCAGTCTATACATTTTAATGCAATCACTATCAAAATACCACCAGCAATTTTCACGGAGGTGGAACAAACAATCCCAAAGTTGTATGGAACCACAAAAGACCTTGAATAGTCAAAGCAATCTCAAAAAAGAAAAGCAAAGCTGGAGGCATCACAATTCCAGACTTCAAGTTATATCACAAAACCATAGTCGTCAAGACATTATGGCACTGGAACATAGATTAATGGAACAGAATAGAAAATCCAGAAATAGACCCACAATTCTAAGGTCAATTAACCTTGACAAAGTAGGAAATAATATCCTAAGGATAAAGGTCTCTTCAACAAATGGTGTTGGGAAAATTGGACAGCCACATGCAGAAGAATGAAACTGGTTCACATTTTTATACCACACAATATAGTAAATTCAAAATGCATGAAAGACCTAAATGTGAGACAGGAAACCATCAAAATCCTAAGGAGAGGGCAGCCCGGGTGGCTCAGGGGTTTAGCGCCGCCTTCAGCCCAGGGCGTGATCCTGGAGACCCGGGATGGAGTCCCACATCGGGCTCCCTGCATGGAGCCTGCTTCTCCCTCTGCCTGTGTCTCTGCCTCTTTCTCTGAAAGAGAAAAGAGAAAAAAATCCTAAGAAGAACATGGGCGGAAACCCATGTTTTGACCTCTGCTGTAGCATTGTCTTACTAGGTATGTATCCAGAAGTAAGGGAAACAAAAGCAAAAATGAACTCTTGGAAAAAAAAATGAACTCTTAGGACTTCATCAAAATAAAAAGCCTTTGCACAGCGAAGGAAACAATCAACAAAACTAAGACCACCTACGCAATGGGAGAAGATATTTGCAAATAACATATCCGATAAAAGGTTAGTATCCAAAATCTATAAAGAACTTATCAAATTCAACACCCAAAAAATAAATAATCTAGTTAAGAAATGGGCAAAAGATATGAACAGGCAGACATACAGTTACTGCATGATCTCACTTACACATGTAATCTGAAAAAGTCAACCTCATAGTAACAGAGAGTAGAATGGCTATTACCTGGGTCTGGTGCAGAAAATAGGGAGTCCTTGGTCAAATGGTACAAAGTTTCAGTTACACAAAATAAACAAGTTCTGAAGTTCCACTAAACACATAGTACCTCTAAGCTAACAACACTGTATTGTTTATTTACAATTGGCTAAGAAGATAGATATTACACTAACTATTCTTACCATAGCAATAACAATAGCAATAATAATGATGATAATAATAGAGGTGGGAGGAAATTTTGGTAGGCGATAGTTAGATCTATGACTTTAATGGTGACGATGGTTTTACAGGTATATACTTGCCCCAAAATGTATCAAGTTACATATATTAAATAAGTGCAGATTTTACATGCAGTCATATCATAATAAAGTGGTTAAAAAATAAGTTAAAGAAAGTTTCTCTTTATTAAAGCACTGTAACAATGAAAGACTATATAATTAGACAGTACACAACCCCCATGGTGTCAATGACTCTAGCCACTGAACATCAATAGTCGCTATCATCTCCAAGAGAGAGACAACCAGGTATTATGGGCCCTCCTGACAATGCACACACACACAACACCAACTATGGTACAGCTGCTTCCAGGAATCAAACAGGAGTCTCATCCAGTCTCTTAGTCCAGTTGCCGGTATGCTGAAATATAGTGGACACAAGAACAGGTTCAATTCTCCAAGAGTATGCAGTCAGAAAAATATCAACTATGAGAAACACTACAGCATAAATATCTCAGGTTCTTCAATAGAAAAATCCTTTGTAAAGAAAGGATTTGGGGGACGCCTGTGTGGCTCAGCGGTTAAGCGCCTGCCTTCAGCCCAGGGCATGATCCCGGGGTCCTGGAATTGAGTCCCCCATCAGGCTCCCTCTGGGAGCCTGCTACTCCCTCTGCCTGTGTCTCTGCCTCTTTCTCTCTGTCTCTCATGAATAAATAAAATAAAATCTTTTTTAAAAAGAAGAAAGAAGAAAGAAAAGAAAGAAAGAAGAAAGAAAGAAAGAAAGAAAGAAAGAAAGAAAGAAAGAAAGAAAGAAAAAGAAGAAGAAGAAGAAGAAGAAGAAGAAGAAGAAGAAGAAGAAGAAGAAGAAGGAAGGAAGGAAGGAAGGAAGGAAGGAAGGAAGGAAGGAAGGAAGGAAGGAAGGAAGGATTTGGGAAGGACCTGGAAAATAAAGGGAATAGCAAAAATTATAATGAGAAGAAAACTGAACTATAGTGGTGTGTAGGGCTGAAACCCAGATAATAAAACTATTTTTTAAAGTAAGATATGATCACTATAAAGCTTAGATGCAGGGTGCCTGGGTGGCTCAGCCAGTTAAGCCTCCAACTCTTGGTTTCAGCTCAGCTCTGATCTCAGGGTGGTGAGATTGAGCCCTGGGTGGGGCAGGGAGTCTGCTTGAGTTTCTCTCTCCCTCTCCCTCTGACATTCCCCTCCTCCCTCACTGAAATAAATAAATAAACTTTAAAATATATTTCTTTGGGGGCAAAGGACAGAAGGCAATGCCTATGTCACACACACACACACACACACACACACACAGAAAGAGAAGGGGAGAGAAGAAACCAAAGTGAGACAGTATGACTTATGGGAGTTTGTGCAATCTTAGGAATTTCCTCAGTGAAGGAGACATGGCTTTGAGCCTAAATGTACTGGACAGTTAGAACCAAGATTCAGCTTTCTCTATCCTCTTCTTATTCTCAGCTGATGATTTCCTTTTATTTCATCAAGAAAGTAAAAGCTCCAAGAGATAACTTCCTCATTTTCCCATCACCATATGCCTTCACTCAATTTTATCTTACTCTGCCTTCTCTCCATTTTCTGGTTTTTAACCCTTCCACGTATCACTAGATTTTTATCCCCACTCACTTTTTTAAAATTTTATTTATTCATGAGAGACACAGAGAGAGTGGCAGAGACACAGGGATAAAGAGAAGCAGGCTCCATGTGGAAGGCTGATGCTGGACTCGATCCTGGGACCTCAGGATCACACCCTGAGCCAAAGGCAGACACTCAACCATTGAACCACCCAGGTACTCCTATCCCCACTCACTTTTTAAAAATGTCACTCCTGAACTCAAAGATTGTTTCTTGCATCACAATTCCCCACCCCTAAACAAATTATCCATTTTACACAGAAATATGCCATAACAGTTATCATCGAAAACTTTCCTCTTCAGCTTACTTTCTCCTTTATATACTCTATGGAAGAGAGCTTCATTTATCTCTTTTTCATATCTCTGCTCTTCTCTCCTGAATTCTTTTGTTATTTTTTTTCTGAGCAAGTTCTTGATTGATGTTGTTTTCATTTATTATAAAACACTTCGGATGTTAAAAGATACAAATTAAAAATATAACCTAACATAATTTTTTTTTCTTTTCAACGCCAGGACCTTTTTTTTTAAAAGACACATGCTCTTTAGAACACTTGAACTGCAGAATGAAGTGCAATCCCGACGAACATGCAATTAAATACTGTGCTGACTGGACCATCTGCTGCAAAGTAAAGAATACTAAATTTAAGAGGAAAAAGAAGTGGTGAAAAGTCCAACTCCATCTTCTTCGGCTTCCAGGAAAAGAAACTGAAAGTGTTTAAAACTCTATTTTCTATCTAAGGATAGTTGTTAATATGATGGATAAATGAAATTCACAATAAATATATGTTTAAATGGTAAGGTTAAAGTAAACATGAATTTTATAAAGGCTTATGCTCTTTTTTCATGCGTGTGCTTTTATATTATATTTATTTTTTATTTTATATTATATTTATATTTTATTTTTTATTTATATTCCTTCATTTATATCCACCACCATGTTGTTGTTTCATCTATAATACGGTAGCCCAACCCCATAATGTACCGTCTGACCTGGGGCAAGTTCTGTAATCTCTCTTTACGTCAATTTCCTTATCTACAAAGTGACATAATAATAGTTCCTACATCATGGTGTTAGGAGAATTATATTAGTATATGCAAAGTTCTTAAGCAGTGCCTGACCCCAGTGTAAGCTCTTTGTTAACCGTAATTTCATGAGACCAGATAATGTGATCTCTTCTATAGCTTTTTGGAATCTATTGAATCATTCCTTGTGATCTGAGATAAAATTGATATGTTAAAATTTCACATGGTTTTGAAAATAAGGTATATTTTCTATGTGTGAGATACAGTCTTATACAAACATATTTATTCAATGCTATTATATTCCAGTGATCTAGGACTAGAACAGTGGTAGTGAGGATTAAGAAGAAAGAAGAGATTCAGGAATGGATTTCAGAAGTAGAATTAACAGAATTTAGTGGCAATGGGATATAATGAGAAGAGGGTATGAAAGGTGATACTGTGATTTCAAAGCTAGCAAAGATATGGTGAGCAATGCAGTTCACTAAACTGGAGAGGCCAGAAGAGAAAGTAGGTTAGGAGGAAAGAGGGAAAGTCATTAAGGAGATGCTTTGGCAAAATGGAGTCATGTAAGGCATATAGATATGAGTCCACTGTGCACTTTTGCAAAAATGTAACTTTATTTTTTTAATAAATGAACCTAATTCTTATTATGAACCTCATTCCTCCTGGTCACAGAAACTTAAACTCAGTGTATTCAGAATTGCTTGTTTTCTCTAAATCATTTGTAAATTCAAGACTTAAGCAGTGGTGAGGCATCTGGGAAAGCACTGATGATGTTAACATTACTAAGACAATCAACATTCCTACCTGGTCTTCAGTCACCAGCCAATGTACAACTGCTAAGTTGCTTCTTGTTCTTTAAAAAAAAAAAAAAGATTAATTTATTTATTTGTGATAGACAGAGAGAGAGAGAGAGAGAGAGAGAGAGAGGCAGAGACACAGGAGGAGGGAGAAGCAGGCTCCATGCCGGGAGCCCAATGCGGGACTCGATCCCGGGACTCCATGATCGCGCCCTGGGCCAAAGGCAGGTGCCAAACCGCTGAGCCACCCAGGGATCCCCTGATTCTTGTTCCTGATAAAATTCTTAAAAACTCTTTGGGTGAAGCTCATTCTTTAGTCTATGCGATAACTCTGCCACTCAAGCATCGTTCTAGCTTGCCAGAAATTCCAGGGGGAGTATCTATTCCTCCACCACATCCATGGTGATCCCAGTCATACAGGATTCTACTACTACTCTCTTCCCATGCTGAGGGAACCCATATGAGGGAAGGGGGACAAATGCTGTGAGACTACCTCAGATCGATCTACCAAAGAAAACCAGTCAATCAATGCCGTGTTATGGTCTGGCCACCTCGCCGAGCTCCACTCACACAAGGAAACACGAGTGCACCATGACATCAGAAACCCAGAGTTTCTACTCTCCATCACCTCCTCCCGTTTCCTTTCCCTCCCACTTTGTGGAATCCAGGACTGGAGAGAAAAACAATGACACTTCTCCCCCCACTACCTGAGCTGTTCATCTTCCTTCATGCCCATTTTATCCTTCTTCCTCTACCTTATTCAAGACTTGATTTAGAGAAGGAATAAGCTCTTCATGCATCTGCATTCTCCAAAATCTGTCATAAAATCTGAGTCCAAGAGTTCCTTCCAGTGCCCAAGTGAACATAGTCTCTTTTTTTAAATTCAGTTTAGTTAACATATAGAATATTACTAGTTTCAGGGGTAGAATTTAGTGGTTCATCAGTTGCATAGAACACCCGGTACTCATTACATCATGCCCTCCTTAATGCCCATCTACCCAGTTACTTCATGCCCCCACTCCCCCTCCTGTAACCTCAGTTTGTCTCCACCTCATGTGGGACCCATATCCTGCCTGCTCTGTTCTCACAGCTTTGTCCCACATCTGTATCTTTCTCATGCCTCCAGAATGCACTGAACAGCTGTGCAGATTGCTCACTGCACAAGCCTCGGGGCATCATTCACAGAGGCAATGAGGTGAGTTGCACAATGGTACGTAATAGCTCTGTGGGCAGCCTCCATACTTTATATATTGTCTTTGTCATGTCAGAGTCCCTCAGAGGCTTCCTTGAGTTAGCAGCTCTGAGCTCCTTTCCCCATTTCTAAGAGTCTTGCACAGAGATGTATTTCTGTATTATAAGAAAAAAAAAGTTCATTATGACAAGTGGTAATTAATGTGTGTCTAAGTATTAGGGAGAAGCGTGGGGAATGATGAGGAGAGGGGAGCCATGGAGCATACAGACCTTACATAAAGGGTAACTTCTACTCAATTCTAGTAGATTCTTGTCATGCAGAGAATGCCAAAAGAATGTTGCCATATTTTCTGGTTTATTTGATGGAAATAGAAATCTGGATTTTTAGGGGGATGAGGCTGTCTCAGTAGAGCCTAGGACTCTTTTTTTTTTTAATCTTCCTTGAGTGTTTTTTAATCTAAAATCTATTAATTAAGGGGCACCTGGGTGGCTCAGTGGTTGAGCATCTGCCTTTGGCTCAGGTTGTGATCCCGGGGTCCTGAGATCAAGTCCCACATCAGGCTCTCCATAGGGAGCCTCTTCTCCCTCTGCCTATGTCTCTGCCTCTCTCTGTGTGTCTCTCATGAATAAATAAACAAAATCTTTAAAAATAAAAAATAAAATAAATTAACATATAGTGTATTATCAGTTTCAGAGGTAGAGTTTAGTGATTCATCAGTTGCACCCAGTGTTCATTACATCACATGCCCTCTTTAATGCTCATCACCTAATTAATACCACCCATCTTCCCTCCAGCAACCCTGTTTGGTCCCTATAGTTAAGAGTCTCATGGTTTGTCTCCCTCTCTGTTTTAATCTTATTTTATTTTTCCTTCCCTTCCCCTATGTTTATCTGTTTCATTTCTTAAATTCCACATATGAATGAGATGATAGGATATTTGTTTTCTCTGACTGACCTGGTTTGCTTATCATAATACCCTCTAGTTCCGTCCACATCATTGCAAATAGTAAGATTTCATTCTTTTGATGGCTGAGTAATATTCCAGTGTGTGTGTGTGTGTGTGTGTGTGTGTGTGTGTACACCAGATTTTCTTTATCTATTCATCTGTCAATGGACATCTGAGTTCTTTCCATATTTTGGCTATTGTGAACATCATCTTTTGACATGCAGAAGTCTGTTCTTTGTTTCTCTCTTTTTGAGAGGAAAAGGTACACATTGTTCAGAATATAGTAATGGTCAACTAAGTGTTTTAGACTTTTAAAAACAGGAAAAAGTAGATGAAATGCTTTTTAAAAATATTGTTAAAATCAAAATCTAACAAATTAGTAAAAAATTTCCCAAACAAAATCCAGGTGTAGGGAGGGTAGGCAACTTCTAAGATAGCTTCCAATGATTCCTGCCTCCTAGGATCCATGCTTTTATATAATCCTTTCCTGTTGAGCCACTCAATTCTAATGGATTGAATAGAGTTGACTCTTGAACAATGTGGGTTTAAACTACATGGCTCCACTTGCAGATTTTTTTTAATAAATATATTGGAGAGGCTCCTGGGTGACACCCAACTCTTGGTTTCAGGTCAGGCTGTGATCTCAGGGTTGTGAGATTGAGCCCTCTCACTTCCCTGCTCTCTCCCTGTCTTTAAAATAAATAAATCTAAATAAGTAAATAAAAAAATAGGAAAATTTTTTGAAGGATTGTGAGAACTTGAAAAAAACTCACAAATGAACCATGTAGCTGAGAAACACAGAAAAAAATAAGAAAAAGTTAAGTATGTCATGAATGCATAAAACATATGTAAATACTATTCTACCACTTACTACTATAAAATATATTATAAATAATATATTTATATAAATATATAAATATGTCTGCCTCTCTCTCTCTGTCCCTGTGAGTAAATAAAATAAAACAATCTTTACAAATAAAATAAATAAATAAATAACAAAGAAGACAATACTCCATACCATAGTCTATGGAATATCCATCTATAGATAGTCAGATATAGCTTAAAATATTTTTTAAATATTGAAAATATAAATACAAATATGAAAAGATAAATACAAAATTCATGGCAAAAATGGGTCTGCTTAGGTCAAGGGAACAAATAGGGGATAAAATATATTATTTTATTTCATTTGTCTACTTTTCCTTTCATTTTATATTTCTTTGTACCAGTTGTATCAATTTTTAAAATAAAAATAAAGGTGAAACAGGCAGACATAAATAAATAAATCCAGCATAAGACCATAGTAAAAACAAAAAAAAAAAAAGAAATTCATCAACCCATTGCTGCAGCTACACCAGCAAGTGTAAAAGTTGCACTTTTTTGCAAAATACTTTTTTTTAAGATTTTATTTATTTATTCATGAGAGACAGAGAGAGAGAGGCAGAGACACAGGCAGAGGGAGAACAGACTCCCTATGGGAACCCAATGTGGGACTCGATTCCCAGGCCCGGGATCACACCCTGAGCCCAAGACAGATGCTCAATGGCTGAGCCACCCAGGCATCCCTGCAAAATACTTTTTATGTCATAATTAAAATGCAGCTTTTATGTAGCAGGTGTAAGATTGCTATAAGAAAGGCATACTTATAGACTATAATGTGATTAGAGAAAAAGCAAAGTCAATTTAAAGCAAAAGGAAGGTGAAG